TTTTTTTTTTTGTTTCTTTGTTTTTCTTTTTCGTTATTGAAAGTTGATCGATAATAGTACAAATCAAATGATAAGAATAAGAATTTCTGACATTCATTTTGCATGCAACAAATATTTCAACAATAATTTTTCGGATGTAATTTTGATCGAAAAAAAGACGAAGAAAAAACAAAACAGATATATTTGTATTTAATCGATTGATGAAAAAGTAATGGACCTATGCAGTACACTTCTCCTATATATCTTAAAAGGTTAATAGATCTTTTTTTTTTTTTTTTCTTAAATTTTGCTTTTGTCACTTATTTAAGCATTCTTTTAATATTATTTTCTTTTATCGATTACTTCTTTAAATATTTGTTCCATTTTTATCCATCCTGTATTTATTTAAAATATCATTTAAAATCATCAATCTAATTTATATGTAAATGAAAATTTGTGCAAATTGGAATGAAGAATAATTTATAAATAGTACATCGGCAATATTGTTAATTAAAAATTTTTACTCATTTTCATTTTCAATATAATCTTCCATTCTTCACTACAATGCATACGTACGTTGATACGCTACAGGATTACAGATCACCGTATCGTCTTTATCGACCGTATCAATTTGATGTCCCGCAAACAACCATTCCAAGCAATTCAACGATACTCTATCGTACTCCAAATCTTGATATTTTATCAGAAGTTAATCGACGATCTAGACGTCTTGAACGTATTGTATCTTATCAAAAAATTTTAACAATTACTCAGGTACTATTATTTTTGTTCCAATTTTTTCTTTTTTTGAAAAAATTTGAAATGAAAAATTTTGATTTAAAAAAAAAAAATGAAATAAATTATTTTATTTATCAAAGCTTACATAAATTATCATAAAACGAAGTTTTCTCATTTTTAGCTATTACTTTAATTACTTTTACTCAAAAAATATTTCTAACTCTGTGCTCTGTAATATCATAACTGTTCGATTTTCATTTCAATTTTTTTCTCCGTTGCATTTATAGTAGTAGTAGAATTAATGAAATTAGAATTGTTAAAAATTTTTTCTTTCATTTTTTTTTTTAGTTCCAACTATTTTTCACAAGAATAAATTATTTAGTTTTAGAAATAAAAAAATATAAGGCTAAAATTTTTTTACATATAAACTCTACTCAAAAAAATGAAAAATGATTGTATATTTTATCAAAGTGTATGCAAAAAATGGAATAAAAATATAATGCATTTGTAAAATTTGTAAGTAAAAATTAAATGATGTATGTTATTCTTCTTATTAACAAAAAAATTTGAAAGAATGACGAAAACTGCTTAAAATTTAATTGTTTTTTTTTTTTGAAAAATAAATTCTTTATAGATGTTATTTTCACTCCTTTTGATCATATTGGAATTAACGAAAATTTTGCTAGTTTGGGAGCATTTCAACTATTGGGAACAAAGATTTGTGCTAGTAAGTTTCATATCTTTCTCACCCAAAAAATTTAAACATTATGTAAAATATGAATTATTGTTTTTTTTCTTGAAATTAGGAAAATTTTTTTTTTTTTGAAATTTAAAAATTAATATTTTTTGATATTTGCGAAAATTTTAGATCTGTGAAATATTTCAACCAACACTTTTTGCTACAGCTGCATTTATAACACTTTACTGTGTTTTGCGACCAACAAAAAGTACCTCACAAATTGCGATCGCATCACTTATCGCAACATTAATACCACTGTTCATGTTTCCCACTCAATCACCATTTGTGCTCAGTAAATTTTAAAATTTTCAATTTTTTTTTAATTGTCTTTTAAGTTAAATGTCTATGTATTTTATCACTCCCTTAATCATATTATCATTCTCTCGCTGATCATTTTTAAATATTATGCCATAATCAAATTATCATTATTTGATTAATCCTTAGGCTAAAAATATACGAGTTAAGAAATTCTATATATATTTTTCAAATCTCATTGTAAATTCATCAATGAATTATAATTTTTAATTATTAATAATGATAATTACGAAAAAATTGCAATAAAATATTGGAATTTCAATTATCAATCGTTTTTTTTTTCACCAAATTTGAAAATTTTTCTATCAAAATAGGAATAGAAATAGATCAAAGTAAATTGTTTTTGTTACAAGAAAAAAAAGTTTTTTTTTTGTTTTAAAATAATTTCTGTAAAGTACTTCAAATTTCGCGTTGTTTTTACTTTCAAAATTTAATTTTAATTTTGCTAGGCAAAATGGATGAGAAGTTATATATATGTGTACCTGTATTAATTAGCAAAAAATAAGAGAAGAACATGATCATTCAAATATAAAACAATTTCAAAAACTTTTGAAAAATTAAAAAAACATGGCAATATTTTCAATGATGAAATTTAGATATTATTAATATTGATTAAATATTTTCGGTTATTGTTTGAAAATCTTATTTCCTCTTTTCCATAACATATTTATTTAATTTTGATAGTGTCATTCCAATTTTGTTTTTTTTTTTAATTTGAATTTTAAATTTGGCTGAAAAAAGTTTATATTGTATAAAGGAATGCTAAAATAAGAAACAAATATTTTTATAAATGAGAAGAAGAGAAGGGAAGTATCGAATGTGCGCAGAGTTAAAAAATAATTTTGATTTGATTTGAAAATTTTCGAAAGATTCCGTTCATTTTAAGCGTCTAAACCAATAAAATCCCGATAAGCTAAAAATATTACAAATAATTTAAATTTCCGAATTTTGGAAAATAAAATCTTGAAAATGAAGAGTGGAATTCTTCAAATTTCATAATATGATTTAAATTGATTCCTCTAGTTTTTTGTTTTCATTTAATTTTGAAATTTCTTTTAGAAATTCAATTCTTGATAATAACTTTCACATCCGACATAAATTAAGAGAGAGTTCTCGGGAATGCATTGACATAGCTGAAATGCAATGTTATGCAATATGAAACTTTAACATAGCATTCAAATCATTTAAATCATTATTTCCTTTATAGAATTAATATATTTATTAAGAAATAGATATCATAAATTAAGAATGAAATATGTCAAAGTTTAATAGGTCTAAAATGCAATTAAACTCTCTTAAAATTTAGACATAATTAAATAATTCTTGACAAATATTTTCAGCTCTAAGAACATCATGAAATTTAACATTTGAATATTTTTCAAAATAAAGAGTGTGAAATGAAAAACTATCTTTAATAATAAATGAATTATAAAATAATCCCATAAAAGGAAATCCAAAAAAAAAAAAAAGATCAGTAAGTGGAAAATATTTATATGGCTAAAAAGCAATTTAAAAAAAATACAACTGAAATTTTGATAAATAAAAAACTTTAAATAATGAAACAAAAAAAAACAAACAAACAAACTACATTTTATTGGTGCTACAGATGCAATTGAAGCAGTACGCGTGAGTCGATCAATAGAACGGTCATCTACAGTGACCGATGGTTTACGATCTGAAATTTCATCATTATCAAATGGTTTGGGTAATTTCGAACAATTACAACGATTAGCACAATTACCATTTCTTACGCTTTCTAAGAATGTTGGGACAGAGGTACAGTATTTAATTGAAATTACTCTGTAATTTTTTTCTTTGTTTAAATTTTAAATCAATATTTTATTCTGAATATTTTTAGAATGATGAATACTGCCAAAGTTTAAAAGTCATTCACGAAAACGAAAAAAAAAAAATGAAAATTAATTCATAGAAAAATTGTTTTTAACTAATGAAATTTTAACCAATGATATTGCATAGTTTAGTAATATGATTCGTATATACTTTAATAATATTAATTTAGACGTCAAAATAAATCAATTCATAGTAGTTTATATGACCTGTTTTTGTTTGTAATAAAAAAGAAAAATATCATTGAAATTATGCATATTACGCTTAAAACGTAATTAATCATTGATGCTAATGAAACCTAAAAATTACCAACGATCTTGAGATTCTGTATAAAGTCATCGCAAAAAAATATATATATATATATCCATATGCGGAAGTTTATTCAAAACATATATGCTAAATAGCTTCAAACATTTAAACTTTTCAAATTAACACATAGCAAAAAAAGGAAGTTGAAGTTTAGCACTTAAATAACTTAGCATGGAGTAAGATAAATTTTCAGGATTGGAAATCAACTTCAACATTTTCATCACCTGCACCATCCGTTTCCTCATCATCATCATTTTACGCAATTCAACAGCTGCTCAGTTTGCAATATTTGCTAATCGCTTATGCATTCTTTTCATTTGCTTATTCCATTCTGTTAGTTTTGATGCTAATTTCCTATGTTCAACTTATTCAACTACAATAACCCTGTTGACCTTTGACCTTTCCTTTTATCTTTGATACTCATTGATTTTGCACCCCACAATAATTATTTGTTATATTAGCTTCAAATTGTTCCTAAATTTTTATAGCAATATGTGACACGTTTAAGTTTTAAAAAATTCGAATTTTATATGATAAAAGTCAATTGTGATACGGTAAATTTGTTATTTGAATATCAAAATATAATTTGTTAGGAAATTAAACAATTGAAAAAAAAACGAGAAAAAGAGAGAGAGAGAGAAGAAGAGAAAAGGTGAGTGAGATTGAATAAATATGATCATTATCATCGAATTCATAATTAAAAGCGAAAAAATCTATCCAAATTCATATTAGAATGTTATGAGAAATAAAAATGATCATAATTGGCTTCCTTTACAGTTAAATGTTACATAGCAAATTTTAATTTAAATATTTCAGGACCGAAAATTATGGATCAGTTTCTTTGTTTGCTTTGAAGCGTTACTTTTATTCATGTTTGATAAATGAGGAAATTTTTTAATAATTACATTTGAATGAATAATTACGCTACCAATAATTACATTAACAAATCTCTCTCTTCCTCTTTGTCAAAT